AACGAACGAGAGAGAGTATCTCGTTAGGTTTTTCTCCAAATCAAAGCCATCTAAGCCATGTAACATTGTTCCTTATCTAATCCTCGGTACTTTCGATGCTTCGAAGTACGATACTGCGCGAGGATAAATAAATCGAGCTGGACAGTGAGAAGATATCACTACTTACGAGATGCAAGACCACGTCGAAACTAGTTAATCACATAGTTCCGTGAGTTTCCTCGAGTGAGGCTGACTTGAGGTCTTTCAGACAGGGATTGGATGAACACGGAGAAAAAAGTAATTGTGATTACATAAGAAGAGTAACAGTGATTATTGCATGACTAATGGAACTTTGGAAATTGAAGTCTGACCGTTCTGATTAAAGATTTTAGAGCAACGCTGCGCTACTAATACGTTTGCGCACTTTTACTCTGAACTGATTTCACTCATTCGATAACAGATACTCGCTATTTTCACATTTGTGGAAAATCGAACGAACGAGATGAAACAGGTAACACGGGTAATAGGCAATGTTCGACAATTTGAATTGAACTTGAACGAACGTGATTCAGAAATTAAGTATAATTGCTATAAATAGTCTGTCTGATGTCAGAACAATGGCGTAGTGATACCGCATCACAGCGTGAAGGCAAATAAATGCAACAGAGAAAGAGAGGGAGAGAGAAACGCGGGATTTAAAAGATTAAACAGGTTAAAGTGTGTGCATAAATTATAACACGTAAAAATAAGTATAAAGTACGTTATTTTTAAGACGGCCGCTTACGAAGGGTTTCGAGAGCCTGGGGCAAAAGAAACAGGCGAGCCATCAAACTTTTACGACGCGAGGTGAAAAATAAAAAGTGATGGGATCGAAATAAATGAAATCTAGTCTTCTATTCGAAGGTACGACCGCAAGGAACGTCCATCACCGGCGGAAATATTAAACGCGTCTAATTTCAGACAGTTTGAAACAGCCTGCCGTGAAATCTAATTGCGAAAGACAACCTGTCGTTCGCCAAATCGAAACGATGCAAGTTTAACATTCGTTGTTTCGAAACGACGATTAATTCACCGACGAGCCAGAATGCCAAGCGATCCCGAGTCAGAGTTTTGCGTAAGTTCGCGTACGATTCGGCCGACAGATAGCGATCGGCTGATCAAAATCCCTCCTACACGATCGATGGAGAACAAACGCCAAGCACTTCCTCGGTTACGTGGACGTCAGCACGTCACTCGCGCCGTATTGCAAACGATCTCTTTTATTTTAAACGATTGCTCGGAACAGCAATTAGCTCGGTACGCGACGACGCACGATGGAATACGACCCCGCCGTACGCATCTTCGCTCAGCCTTACGTAAGAAGCGTTGCTTTCTTCGCACTGTGAATCGAATCGATGAAAAGAGAAATTCGACGACGACTATTCAACGACTGTCCGAGCCACGGAGTCCGACGTCTATGTTTCACCTTGCCTCGTTATGCGCGTTACGTGCGTCTTCTCCACAGCCGGGGATCGTTCCGGCGAATGGAATTCCGGCGTTTCTCGTTTTGCATAGAATCGAGTAGAAAGTGGTCAAAGGTTGCCGACTATTACGAGGACGGACGTGAAGAACTCGACAGTGCCGCGTGGAAATTGAGAACGCGTAAGTGGCTTTGGGTATCGATGATGCGGCCTGGAATACCAATCGAGGAGAAACTTGCGCCGCGGCGAAGTGAAATAAGGAACGAGGCTCGCACAAGCTAGCGAGCTGGCGAATGAGCAACGAGCGTCGACAAACACGCGCGGGGCCAAAACTCCGATCCAAGTTGTAATACCCCGATCGTTGCAGAACGCGTCGCGTGATCGACGAGTCGATATCTATCGTTCGGTGACGTCGATAGATACCGACGACTGAGAGCACCTTCTTCCTCGTATTACCTAGTCGCGCGATAGTTCTGTCAATCTTTCGGCTCCGTTCACCGTCGTTGGCAGTGAAACGGACGCGTCGAGTCGAGCGTCCTCCTCCTCCGCTCGAGAAGGAGCTCGCCTAAGCAAGCGGCAACACAGTTCCTGATCATTCTCCAAGCACACTGAAGCGTCTGCAAAGAAGCGCGAACTCGTTCGCAAAATAACGAAGCCGATCGTATTTTCACCGACAGCGACAGAAACTCCTATGCACATACACACACAGAGACACCGTGCGAGTAGGCGCGCGCGAATCGTCGTTAGGAGCGGCGCAAGCGCCGCAAGTAAAACGCAATGTGTACACGTAGAAAGAGAGACGCGCTAGGCTGGACGCGCGCATTCACGCACTCACGTACACGCACCGTACGGGAAACGTACAACATACACAGATGGGAGAAGGATCGCGCGTTTTCCAGCTGGAGCCTTTCCAGCTACGACGATCACTTTGTTGGCTGCACTTAACAGGCACGCACACGGAACGCGGCGTGGAACGGCGGGGCCAGCTTCTTCTTGCCCCGGTAACACATCGACGGCACCACGGCGGTCGCTCTCTGCTTCCGGCGTGGCGTTCGAGCAAAGGCCGAGAACACGCGGAGCACGCGGAATTTCGCGGATCTGTTGGTATTTCGAGAGGCGAGGGAACACTGCGCGTCGGAGGAGCACGTCTCCGGGCACTCGAGCAGAGGTGACGAGCCGAGTGTTGTTGTTGGAGCAATGGTCACGGGATACGGAGAAAGGGAAGAAAGGGAAGAAAGGGGAGAAAGGAGAACGGAGAGTGCGAAGAAAGAAAGGAAGAGAGCCGAACGAGGAAAATGCTGGTGTAACGCGAGCGGAGGAACGATGGAGGCGAACATTCTCCTCGGCTGAGCGGGACCACTGGCGCGCACGCACGCACGAACGCACACGTGCACTCGTACACACAGGCGCGCGCACGTAGCAACGATGCCTCCACGTTTCCTTCCTCCGCGGTAATTTCGGGAGTCTCGCGCACCAATGTGTACACCGGCACCACGATCCGATCGACCGGCCGATTCGAGCGGCGAAACCGACGCGCCGTTGGTACGTGTTTGTTATCCGATGTCGCGCGACCACGCTTCCTGATTGGGCCCAGCGGGGAAAACTCGTGGAAACGCCGTGCAACTGGCGCATTGGAATATTTCGGGGGTATACGGGTTATACCCGACAGTCGTTGAAGAAGAAACGAAACGAACAAAGGAAAGAGATAATGAAACGGACAAAGATGGAAAAGCGGACCAAGTCCCGTAGGGGGCGCGGAGGGAGGAAACAAAGAAAAGTAGGGGGGAGAGAGAGATATAACGACAGAGATAGAAAAAAAAGTGTAGGAGAGAGGGACAAGAGCGGGAGTAACCGAGGGAAAAAAAGACACAGAAGAAGTAAAGTCAGATAGACAGAGGGAGGGGGGAGGAGATGGTGATAAAAAAAGACGGAAACAGAAAAAGGGAGGGGGAGAGTTAAAGTACAGAAGAGGAAAGGAGAAGGAACGTTAGGAGAGAAGAAAAAAGAGCTAGAGGAAGAGAGAGAGAGAGAAAAGTGTTTTTCGGGGACCGGCGTTAGCGAGTTGGCATCTCACAATATGTCAGAACTCCCCGCGCTTCCCCACCATCGAATGACGCTACGTCGGGTCACTGAACTGTGCGCGCCTCCGCCGATGATGGCCGAGTGCCTCACCCTTTGCTCTCCCCACCATTTCGTACAGTATCCCCACTACCGGCCCGACACGATCGCCACCGAGTGCGGCCGAGCTGCGCCGACGAACCAGATTACGCCAAGATCGTCGACTGCGCAACTCCGAGCGATCACGGAAACGCGCGAACAGGGACACGAGCGCGCAAGGCGGGCTTTCCGATCTTGCTCCGTGCGGCGCGCACGCACGTTAACATTATTAGCGCCGCTCGTTAAGGGCACACCGGCTCCTAAATACACGTGCGTATCGTGTTTCCCTCGACGATGCTCGGGGAAACTGCCGTTACGGAAAGTTTGCCTTTGGGGAGGAGAAGGTGTTACGACCGCCACGACTAATTAAAGAACCACGATGGTTTTTCGTTTACTCTCCAGCCATTTACGACTTCAACTTTGATTGAGTAGTCATGGTGCCATCGCTGCGAGAACATCACACGGTTAGGATTCGAGAATGGGGTTTTTAATGGATTTGGAGATCCTTCCCTGGTATCAGCCGCATTTTACGAGCAGTTTTTAAGCTAACCAGCGTAGCAACGACATTTTATGGATATATCTTTATCTGTTGAGCTTTTTTTTTTTTAACAAAGGAACTTTATTATTACGTATCATTTATTAACGTATCTATTTTATTCGCTATGAAAGCAAAAGTTACTTGGATAACCTTCGTTCGATAGTCGAACGGAGAAGTTTTTTACGATTGCACGGGCGAAATATGCAAGACTTGCTCGACAAATTCTGAATTCCCATATTTCGCAATTGTTTTTTCAATCGAACTATTGCATCTCGTCCGCCGCTGGATTGCTACACGGTGCGTAACAATCGGTTTTAATTTATATTCAGTGTTAATGCGATTCCACGATCGGTGTACGCTTTAGGCATTTGTGCCAAGGTCACTTTCATTTTTGTGCCGAGCATAATGCACTTAATGCAACGTGCACCGCTGCCCATTGAAAGTACTTTGATTCAACGTTCGGTCCTTTTTCACGCGCTATTGCATTTTTCATTCCCGATCCCATCTGTTGTAACGTAATCGTCGATTCGAAGTTCAAGCGTAGGCGGTTCTGACTATGATCGATACACAATATCTGCCACTTCGCACTGTCATCTGCGTCAAACAACAACAATTTATACACCGTAGAGAGGACCGACGCTTTTTTAATTTCCTGAATGTCCTGAATGTTAAAATTATCACCGCGAAATCTCGTTCTCAACTTCCACCTCTCCTCTCTACCCTTCGCCTGAACACCCGTACATACATACGTTTCCCCCCTCTCTTTGGCCCTCTGTCACCACATGAATTTTCAAATTATTACCTCTTCCTTTCCAAAACGTATCCTCTTAAGTCCTCTCTGCAAGCACACACGTCGTGTCCCCGTTCACCCTTCCACCCTCCTATGTTTTTTTCTTACCCCCGACATCCCTCCTCCCCCGCCCCTGTCGCCAAATAACTCCTTCAGAGGTTCGTTCTTTCTCTCAGACACGCGCACCGCACTCCCTACCACCGCGATTCACATCCCTACCCTCTACGGCTTTGTTTCCCATCCTCGTTCATCGCGAACTGCCTCTCTATTTCCCACCGTTTCCACCCCCTCTCGCTGCGCCACGGCGTATTATTGTCTCTGCCCCCGCGGCCCCGAGCATCGCCTCCTCTCACTTCAAGCCGTTCCCTCGGTCGTTCTCCCTCTCACCCGTGTCTCCCTTTCGCTCCTTCTCTCATTTATTGCATAACCGTGCACGAGGTTGCCAACCTGCGCCGCGTAATACTCTATAAATACGTTTCGCAAATAAATAATCGCGCCGGCGATATGTCTCTTTGCACCGTTCCAGCGCCTCGATCCGGCGGCGGGCACCGGGCGATGTCGTCGTCGTTGCCACGCTTGGAATTTACACGATGAAATGGCCCGATAACCAGAGCCGATAAGCGGCCCTCTCGTCGATAACGAGCCGTGCATGCCTCTCAGAATGCATGTATGCATGTGCACACGCGAGGGAAGCTGACATGCGTGCACGCATCCGACGCCCAATGCCCGAACACAACTTTTCGTTTCTGTAACTGTGAACGTATGCGAACGCGACTCTGACACGTTTGCTTTTCTTTTCCCGTTTAGCAGCTTCTAAACCGGCGAACGGTGGCAATTGTTACGTAATTCGGCGATTCGGATTCGATTTGATTCTAATTCCCTCGACATTTATCGACCAGTCTTCATCATTCGTTTATTAAACACACACACCTGGGGCACAGATATCGAAATAAATTTCCTTCAAAGTACAAATACTCTGTAATCTCATCGAGAACACGTTCTCCTTGTCGTTCCCCATGAAACGAGGCAGAAAATCTCGGCAGAGTCCGATCTGCCGAACGGTTCCGGTTGAGAGACGCTAGGTTACGCAAGAGGAACCTCCAAAGTTACTTTACAATGCAAACCTGTTTCAGTTTCGTTCCCTTTACCTTCACGTTCGCGCCGCTACTCGCCATTTCGGCGATATGTGGCTCGACGAGTCGAGAAAGAAGAGGGAAACACTGCTCTCGTGGTGATGCCTCTTTACGTGCATCTCGAGGTCGAAGGCTGCGCCGTAAATGGCGAAAAATCGGCCGCGATCAGCTCGAAATCGCGGACGATGAGCCGCGAGAGGAGCCAATCGCGGCCACACCGACGCACAGCGATCAGCTGTCGGGTAAATTTACACCAGGTGAATCAGAACTCTGTTCGTGGCGTGGAAACGTATATCGCAAGGCGTGTTTCCACCACGAGAGAGACGACGCAAAGTGCAACGAGAGGGAGAGGGGGGGAGAGAGAGAGAGGATGTCGAAACAGCTTTGATCGGTCCGTAACTTCGTTAAGCTCGGAGACTTGGCGCAAATTACTCGGACGAAGTTGATGTTTATTTCCATGACACTTAGAAACTCTCTGCGAAGTTTGTTGTCCCCTGGCGGCCCTGCTAAACGATGTCAGACATCGTTGCGAGGAAACGCGGTAGGGTGACAGCGTTAATTCGCGTTGTCTTCTGCGACACACTCCGTTCGAGGACCGATCGTTTCCAGCGAACGAGACGCCGATGTGTCTGTGTGCTGCTTCGGACTCATCTCAAAATTCTGCAGGGCTGTTTTTATAATCGTTTAATCATTTTAGTGCCAGGAGCTATTTCAGAAACTGTGCTGGACAGTGCCGAGCAATGCGATAGAGCAAAATCCCAAGCGACGCGATAAAAGTAGTTAAAATAAAAATTGCCTACGCACGTGGTTTAGGTTTAATTGGAAAGAAAGTAATTAAGAGAGGAAGCTTCAGTATGACTGACGACGATATGGCGCCATAATCGAATCAGAGTGTATCGAGCATCACAATCAAACGCTGTGGCACTATTCGATATTAATGTACAACAAACATGTAAAGCACAGTTAATGTGCGTGACGAAGTTTTCAATTGTCAAACAGTACGATGTTTTCGTTGAAAGATCAGCGCATTCGAGGCTTGAAATATCTTTCAATCGTTGTAAGAAAAATCGACATTTTGCTCGAGCTTTCCAAAAGAAAAGAAAAAAAAAAAA